TCCCCCTCAACGCCACTCCAGGTCGCGGCTCTGCCCGCCTTCCCCCCGATCATGTCAACACTCCGTGTTGCCACCCAGCCCGTCACGGAACGCAACGCTTGCTTTCTGGGCGACATCGACCTCGGGCAGCTGGGGACAGCCTCCACCTCCCTGTACAAAGTGGCCTCCATCGCGCTGACCCTGTGGGCCATATGGGCCCCCGACGTGCCATGCGGGGCCCAATGGGTCGGCAGCCCTATGATCCTCGACCGCCCCTTTGCTTCCCACAGGCACGCAATTGGTGAGGATTAAGACGACGCGGACGGATGACCTCCCCGGGCCACACCGTCCGTGGGTGGTCCCTTCACGACAGGGGCTCGTTTCACCGCAGTGACAGGCCCTGGCCTTAATACACGTGTCACCTCCTGGGAGTGAGGTGCACCACTCACGCTGCGTCTAGACCCCCACGGGGCTTCGTGGGCTCTCAGCCCGTGTGGCCTGGCTGCAATAATCCTGCCCACGGCTCACTTTGGCCTTGTTCACGCGGACATGAGCCCGCTTCGCCCGCCTGGGCGCTCACTTTGGGCGGCTGGGGCTGCAGGCCTAAGGCCCACCCCACGCGCTCCACACGCTGCACTCCCGACGTCCGACGGCCTTGCCCTGGCGGCGTTTCCCCCCCACCAGGCGGCGCCACGCGCCGACGACATACCGACTTCGCCGCGTTGGGTCCTCGACGGTCTGTGTCGCCACCTGGCTCCTCCTCCCCCGTTGTATTCAACTGGCCTGCGGCTATCGGCTGCGCCCCCCCTCTTCTCTCTCGACGACTGCTGCGGCGGGCCGACGACGCGCCCTATGGTCCTCGACCGCCCCTTTGCTGCCCACAGGCACGCAATTGGTGAGGATTAAGACGACGCGGACGGATGACCCCCCCGGGCCACACCGTCCGCGGGTGGCCCCTTCACGACAGGGGCTCGTTTCACCGCAGTCACTGGCCCTGGCCTTAATACACGCGTCACCTTCTGGGAGTGAGGTGCACCACTCACACTGCGTCTAGACCCCCACGGGGCTTCGTGGGCTCTCAGCCCGTGTGGCCTGGCTGCAATAATCCTGCCCACGGCTCACTTTGGCTTTGTTCACGCGGACATGAGCCCGTTTCGCCCGCTTGGGCGCTCACTTTTGGGCGGCTGGGGCTGCAGGCCTAAGGCCCACCCCATGCGCTCCACACGCTGCACCCCCGATGTCCGACGGCCTTGCCATGGCGGCTTTTCCCCCCCACCAGGCGGACATCACGCGCCAACGACATACCGACTACGCCGCGTTGGGCCCTCGACGGTCTGTGACGCCACCTGGCTCCTCCTCATCCCTTGTACTCATCTGACCTGCGGCTATCGGCTGCGCCCCCCCTCTTTCCCCCCCGACGACTGCTGCGGCTGGCCATTCGACGTGTCCGACCTCTCGCTGCAGGGCGCGCTCAACACTGGCAGCTGGCGGCACTGGCTGCGTTTCCTGCCCGCGGCTCACTTCGGCCCCGTTCTCGGACATGGGCCCGTTTTGCTCGCCAGGGCCCGCACTTTGGATGGCTGGGGTCGCCGGCCCAAGGCCCACCCCATACGCTCCACATGACGCATCTCCGACGGCTGGTCTCCTTGCCCAGTGGCTGCCCCCCCCCCACTTGGCAGGCGCCCTCGGCTACACCACGCTCAGGGTGCGTGATTCCAGTCCCGAGCATTCAGGTGCTCCGTGAGCGAGGGTTTCCCGGTTGGCTTTTGCCCGCCATGCCCCTCGTCCCCCGGTCTGTCGGGTGCCGGCGCCACTGCGCGGCGCCCCGCTGTCACTGGGTGCCGTTTTTGTCCGGCTCATTGAGGTTCACTTTGTTCCTCGCATGTGCTTTCCCGCGATGGCTTTTGGCCCGCTGGCAAGTATATTGTTTGCTCGTGGTCGCTTGCGCCTTCCGGCGTCGGCCCGCTGGCATTTTTCCCGCTTGCTCCGTCGTGTTGTGCTGGCGTCGTTTCGGCGACCCCCCGCACTCTTCCCGCGCCCTCCCCCCCCGGTCGACGCCAAGGTGCGTCTCCTCGAATTTGTTCGGCATGCTTGCATGCGCGGTCGGCTGTCCACAATGACGGCTGGGTTCGCAAATTATCTGGCTCTGTGCCCCAGTCAGCCCGATTGACCCGCCCTCTGGAGCCTTCCTTGGTCAAGGGCAGAAAAAAACGCCCCTACCCTGGTTTACGAGGCGCTGTGCTCTGAAACTCCTGTGGGCTGACAAGGTAAACCCTGCGTGATGCGCCGCGTCCTGGCGGCTCTAGGCTCTGGGGGTTCCCAGGAGGTTTACAGACCACGCACTTGTAATCCAGGGTAGGGTCGTTTTTTCATCCCTCAACTTGGGGCCGCAGATCAAAAAGTAACCCCACTAGTTTTTGCAGCCGCTTCTGAGTTCTGGCCCGGCCGTCTTGCGCGTCGCTCAGTAGCTAATTAGGCTGGCCCGTGCCCCGGACCCCCCTTTCGGCGACAGCTTCACGCGTCTGCCCGCGACCAAAAAAGTAAACCCACTAGTTCTCGCGCCGCCGCGCCATTTTGACTGCGTCTAATCGCTGGTAGCCACCGGAGTTTTCGGACGCCACCGGGAATGGGTCTACCAGTTCTCTTCGCCCTTCTGAGTTGACGCCCGTTCGCTGCGCCTGTCTTGTTTTTCCGCTTTCCGTTTTTCCGTTGCCTAGTCGTGGCCTGGCTAGAGTTTGGACGCCTTTTGACCCGCTGCACGAGGCCGTTGACCAAAAGTAACCCCACCAGCCCACCCAGAAACGATGCCCAGACGAGTTGCCTTGATCAGGGATGTGGAGGATCATGCAGTGGATTCACAGGCTGGGTATGACGGCTTACCCTAAGAAGGCGGTGTGAAAGATGAGGACGAGGACGAGGAAGAAGAGGAGGAGGGACAGGGGGAAAGGGAGAAGGGAAGAGGAAGGAAGGAGGAACAGGCGGGTGAGAAAGAGGAAGGGGAGGACAAGGACGAGGACGAGGAGAAGGAGGAGAAAGAAGAAGAAGAAGAAGAAGAAGAAGAAGAACAGGAGGAGGAAGAGGAGAAGGGCGAGCAGAAGGCCCGAGGATTCTTGGATGCCTCTCGGAGTATCTTCGGATTTCTTTTGGACGTTTCTTGGAGTCTTCTTGGGGCGTCTTGGGGTCTCTAGGCCGTCCCAAAGGCCTTTTGAGGCGTGTTGGGTGCCTTTGGGGGGCCTCTTGGGGGTCTTCTGGCAGCATGTTAGGGGCATCTTGGTGGCCTTTGGATGGCCTTTGGAGGCCTCCCGCTGAGCCGTTTCAGGATACCCTGGGGAGCTTCGGGGTCCATTTTGGAGGTGATTGATCAAAGAAGGGAGAGGCTTCACTTCTGCACCAACACCCCACCTAGAAGGCCGAAATGTTGCCAAAAACTTGGAAACATCAATGGTGTTGGCCTTCTCGACGAGGCCATCCTGGACGCTCCAACCCCTCAGGGAACGCCCCGTCCAGACCCAGGGGAGGGGGGGAGGGGGAGGGGAAGCCCCTCCCCGAAGGGGAAGAAGGGGGTTGTAAGAGGAAACGCTCTGACTCACTCATGTCCTAAAGGGCTGGCGGGACGTGTGGTTAATCCCTTGCTCACATGTCGGTAGATGTGCACACCATGAGCAAACTCTCAATTGGGAATTGTTGTTACGAGTGGTAACGTGAATACGGTTACGACGTGCCACCTCGAAGAGCATGACCTCGATGTTCCACATCATCGTGGCATGGGCTGGCTGTTATATTGAGCGGCCGACCCGTTCAACGTTGAACAAATTATCACTATCCACTGACAACACGGTCTTGAGAGTACGGGCCAAATAAGCACGACAATAGTTTCTCAAATTGCGTCTTGGTCTCCGCAGCACAGTCTCCAAAGATGGCATACGGAAGAAATTATTGCACAGCATCTTAGATGGAACTTCCGTGATTTTCCGAGAAGTGTACAAGCGAATTGCCTTCAAACCAGAAACATGGCTGCAAAAAACACTGCGAGGTGTTGCAAGCGAGTGGCGCCTTCAAGATTCCACACTCTCAAGGGAAATGTTCAGGAAAGTGATTCGAATTCGCGTGTCGTCAGTACACTTGGGTTCAATGAGTCCGCAGAGCGCAACATAACCTCCGTCACATAGCACCACATCTCTTGGAGCATTGATGTACTTGGACGCAGTAGCACACAGAAGCAAACCATCACGCGCACCGAGTGCAGAAATGTAGCAAGACAGGCGTGACCGATCCTCCCATTGCAAAACACGTTCTGGAATCACATAGCGCAGGCGACTCAACCAAAGTATCAGGAGAGCCTGGCCAGGCACGAGCTCTAAAGCAGTAAAAAACAGTCGATAATCTATTTCTTATGCACTACGAAATCTCCACTGTCTCAACGCCCATGATATCGAAGCACAGCCACCTGAGACAGTTCCTTGTCATAATGATTTGTCTTCCTCTGATGGGGCAGGGACTTGGGTCCAAGATTCCCCTCTGCTGTTTGCCCCACGCCGTCCTTCGACGGACCCCCGGAGCCGAAAAATGCACCAGGAACGCAATAACAAGTGCACGGGAGAAACGAGCTGAGCTTCACCATCGAAGAAGCGACGTATAGCATTGCGGAATGCCCTCCAGAGAATCTAGTTCAACCACTTGCGTCATCAGCGATCGCGCAACGCAATACATTTCGTCCCCTCTTCCCCTTCTCCCTACCCTTCCCAATCCCTTCCCATCATGCCCCTTCTCCACTCTCCCATCCGATGATTCCCAGTTCTTCTCTGCTCCGCCCCCTCATGTCCTTCTTCCCGTCCCTCTTCCCCCGATCCCCTTCCATTTCCTCTCTGCCCTTTCCGCCACGACGCCCAACCTTCCCCATCCCTCCACTTCTCCCTTCCCGCCCCTCCCTCTGACTCTCCAGCTGCCCCTCCCCAACTGGCCCCCCCCCCTTCCCTTCTCCCCCTGCCCTCCCCCTCCAGGGTCTCCCCATCCTTGCCCAGGAGATGCCACCGCCAACCAAGACGCCACGAGCGCAGACGCCACGGGCGCGGGGAACGCAGGCTTGGGGGACCTTGTTGAACCAGCCAAGGTCAGTCAATCTGGTCTGGCCATCCCCTTCCTTCCACATCCTCCTCCTCCTCCTCCTCCACAACCGCCTCCGCCTCCCCCTTCTCCTCCTCCTCCTCCTCCTCCTCCTCCTCCTTCTTCTTCTCCTCCTCCTCGTCCTCCTCGTCCTCCTCCTCCTCCTCCTCCTCCTCCTCCTCTCCTCCTCCTCCTCCCCCCTCCTCCTCCTTCTCCTCCTCCTCCTCCTCGTCCCCCTCCTCCTCCTCCTCCTCCTCCTCCTCCTCCTCCTCCTCCTGCTCCTCGTATTCTGTGCGACTCGCCCTCCACAGCTTCTGCAGTGTTTCGGCCCCAGGTGGCCGGCGCACCGCCCGCGGCCGGCCACGTCCGCGACGCGCGTGCCCAGGGGGGCTCCATCGGGCGAGCCCGCTCAGGACCAGTTCGTCTACGTCGCGGGCTTCGCGTACTGCCTCAACGCCCCTCGTGGGCACGACCCGTGGCCAGAAGCGTCGGTCGGCTCCGGTGCGGGAGGCCCTCGAGGCCATCTGTTGGGTGCGAACTCGAGCCTTGCCTGCTCCGTCTGCTGTCTGCTCTTCAGCAGTTGGGGCGCGGGTGGCTGGCCCCTGCCGGCCCCTACCCCACGCGGTGACCTGCAGGGTCCCGCTCGCAGTGGCTCTTCGGGCCCTGCGTGGCGCGGTGGCTCTTTTGGCCCTGGTCGCAGCGGTCCGTCGGGCCCGGCGCTGCCGGTGCTGGCTCCTGGGCTCCAGTGTTTGGGTGCGGCTGCCGATGGCGCTTGCCTCTGCTCTGCCGCTGAAGAGCTCCCCTCCTCCTTCTCCGGGCCTCGCCCCCATCGATCCTCGCGGCGGCGATGCCGGAGGCTTTCATTCGAGGAAGAGGAGGAGGACGCGGATGAGGAGCTCACGCGCCAATGCGCCACGCCTTGCACCGTGGTGCAGTGCCAGCTCTCGCCTCAAACGCAGATCGCTCCGCGCAAAGCCGGCCGCAATCGCCGCTCGCAGCTCCGCGCCACTCAGGCAGCTCCAGGTGCCGCCCGGCAGAAAGATGTCAGCAGTCGCGCCGTTCTCACTTCCCGCAGTCCGGGGACATACGCACGGACGTTCGCAGGCCGACCGAAGATGCAGCTAGCGCCCCAACTACAGCGGGAGCGCAGAACTCGACTTCTGGGCGCGGGGAGGAGCAGGTGGGCTCCATTAGCTTTTCCCTTGCTCATTCTCCCCACCTCGTGCTCCCACGTTGGCTCAACGCTGGGGCTTGGCGAAGCGTTTCGCCCCTCGGCATCGCCACTGCGCCGAACGCCGAATTCACTTACCTGCTGACGCGAGCGGGCGCGCTCGCGCCGCTGCGGTTCTGCCTCCAGGCCTTTTGCACGGTGGTTGCGCCCACGTGCCGCCGTCCACTGACATCTGGCGGGGGGCTCCACCTCCCAGCCTCGCGGGCTTGGAGGCTGGCGATTGCTTGCCACCACCGGCTCTTTCGCACTCCCCCACCGCCCCGTCTTGGGGCCCTTTGGCCCGGTGACGGCACCCAGCCGAAACCGCCGCGCCATCACTGGAGCGCCGCGCCGGGCGCGCCGCCCGATTTGTCGGAGCCAGCGGCCAGGGCGCAGCGCCCCCAATCCCCCCCTGGGTCGGAGCCCCCAGCGACGCCCATAGACTTCCCCTTCGGGCTTCGACGGTCTGGCGGGCAGCGCTCCAGCGCCGCCGTCGACCCGACCGCGCGCGACCGCTGCGCTGGCGGGGTTCCCGGCCATCGGCAGCCCCGCCCACCTGGTGCCTCGCCAGCTTGGTGTTTCAGCGCGCCACCTGGGCTCGAGGCATTGTTGAGCCCCGAGGCCCGGCGTGCGAGACCGCCGCCTCTGGACCTCGCCGGCCTGGAGGCGGGCGCGCGGACGCCGCCGCAGCGTCAACCGCGCGCGGCCGGCGCCGCCGTCGGGCCCCCCTTGCCCGGCACCAGGACACACAGGTGGGCCGCGGTTTCGGGCCGTGCCATTAGCCAGTTTCTGCGGACCCCACCTCCGCATCCAGCGGAGCCGCCTGTGCTCGGGGCCGCCCGCTCCAGCGTCTGCGACCACTCGCAGTTGCTCGGGCTTCGCAGGGGCCCACCCATGCCCCCAATTGGCCCGCCGCACCACGAGGCGGCGGTTGCGCTGGAGCCAGTCGCCCCCGTCGGCCCGGACTCGGGCTCGGCGAGTGCTGCTGGAAACGCAAGGCTTGCTGCGATCGAGCGGCGTTGCTCAATCGAGCCCTCGCGACGCGCTGCGTTCGCTCGGGGTGCGCGGGGAGTCCCCGGCGCTCTCGCGAGGCCCACCTCCTGTCGTAGCGGGCGCTGCCTGGACAGGTGCTGCGGCGCGTGCCAGGCATCCCGCGACTGGCGGGGCCCCGTAGAGCTCTCGCGGCGTGCCGCGGTCGCTCGGGATTCGCGGGGCCCCCTCGCCGCACCCGGGCCAGGCTCGGCCTCCGACCTGGCGGGCGCAGTCCAAGGGGGCCCCTGGCGCGAGCGCCAGGCCCCCTGCGAGCTGCGGGGCGCGCTCGAGCCCCCGCGCCCTGCCAGGCTCACTCGGGGCGCGCGGGGGCCCCCCTCGCCCCCGCCAGGCTTTTCTCCGGCGGTATATAGCGGACGCCACTTGGAGAGCCTCTGCTTCCAACGCACGGCCCTGACTATGCAAGCGGCGCGGTTCGCCCGAGCCTTCGCGATTTCCCGCGGTTTCCTCGGGGTTCGCGGGCGACCCTGCCCGCCGCCGCCGCGGCGCTGGCGGACGCTGCCAGGAGAGCCCTTGCTGCAGGCGCAGAGCCTCCTCCAAGCGGCGCGGCCTGCTCGGGCCCTCGCGATCGGCTGCAGTCGCTCGCGGCACATGGGGTTCTTCAATCGCCCCTGCTAGATCCAGCTCTGGCGTCGACGACCGCCACCTGGAGAGTCTCTGCTGCGCGCGCAGGATCCCCCGCGAGCGGCGCGGCGCCTTCGGGCCCCCACAACCTTCTGCGGCCGCTCGGAGCGCACGAAGATCCACCAGCAGCGCTGCCTGGCCCAACCTCGGCGCTGGCGGGCGCTAGCGAACTGCCACGGGCGCTCGGGCCACGCGGGGGCCCCCCCCCGCCCCAGCCGCGCTCGGCTTCGGGGTTGCGGACGCGGCCTGGCCAACTTCTGACGCAAGCGCAGGGCTTCCAGCTCACCGCGCGGCTCTCTCGAACCCTCGCGACCTGCCGCGGCCGCTCGGGGCACGCGGGGAACCGTCCGCGGACCTGCTTCGCCCGGCCCCGGCGTTGGGGGACGGTGGCCAGCGAGCTTCGGCGGCGGGCGCTGGGCCCGCTCCGAGCGGAGTGACTTCCTCGACCCGGCGAGCTCCTGCCGCGCGCGCTGGGCCTCCTGCGATCGGCGCAGGCCCCGCAAGCGCCCTGGCGACCTGCCGCGGTCGCTCGGCGGGCCCCTTGTCCGCGCCCTCGCCCGACCCAGCGCTGCCTCTTGGCCGCCAGACGCGAGTTGGATGGCATGCGCCGCCAGCGCGCGGCCCTCTGCGAGCGGCGGCGCCCGCTCGTAAACGGGCGAGGAACGGTATAAACTTTCCAGCCGCCCAGGGGCAGGTGCCCCCGACGGCGAAAAAGTTTCTCTTGTACCGTTCTTCGCCCGTGAAGCTTGAGCAGCCGCGACTCGCCGCAGTCGTTTCCGGGGCACACGGGAGCCCCCCCCCCCGCGGCCCCGCCGGGCTCGGCTCCGGCGGTGGCGGCCGTTGCCCGCGACCCCCCCGAGGCTGGCCGTCCTGCTGTGCCTTCGGAGCGACCGCCCTCCTCCTCCTCCTCCTCCTCCTCCTCCTCCTCCTCCTCCTCCTCCTCCTCCTCCTCCTCCTCCTCCTCCTCCTCCTCCTCCTCCTCCGCAGGTCGGAGCTCGGCGAGGCCTTCCGCACTGTCTGCCAGGGACTTCGCCGCCGCCGCGGGCCCTCCGCCGCCGCGTTCTCGGCGGAGGGCCCGAGAGGCCCGGCGCCCGGGGCGACCCGAGACGCAGCCTGCGACGGCGGCGGGGGGCCCGCGCGCGGCAACGCCCGAGGTTCGGAGCCGCCCGCAACGCCCTCTGGCGCCGTCGCCGCCGATCGGCGCGGATGGGCCGAGCGAGGCCACGAGGGCAGGCACGCGCCCAGGCGCAGCCAGCGACGGCGTCGGGGGGCCCGCGCGCGCGGCCGAGGTTCGGAGCCGCCCGCCACGCCCTCTTGGCGCCGTCGCCGCCGGTCGGCGCGAAGGGGCCGAGGGGGGCCACGACCCAGACCCCCTCGCGACGTGAAAAAACACGACCAGGGAGGTTGTCGCCGTTTTCGGCCCCCGGGGGGCGCTTCCCGGGCCTCGGGAGCGTCAAAAAACGACTCAGGATGAGAAACCGGTCCCGGGTAAGGGGACCAAACCTCTGGGGGTCGACGCTGTGAAAAAATCACGACGTCAGGGTCTGAGGAGGGCAGGCGTGCGCCCCAGCAGCGCGCGCCTCGCACGGCCCCGGCTCGCCCCCTCGGCCCACGCGGCCGTTTTGACCCACGGCTCGCCAGTCCGAGCTCCACCCGTCTAGGTGCGCGGGCGGCTGACGGCCTTGCCGCGGGCGAGGCGCGATCTCCTGGTGCCCCCGCTTCCTTTGCCGCGTCTCACCGCGCTGCCGAGGCTTCAGCCGTCGGGGATCTAGGCGCGCCGCCCCTCGCTTCTACCAGTCCCGTCGCCAGCGGGAAACGCTTTCGAGTTGACTTGTCCTGAGCGGCCACCGCCGCGCTGGAGGCCCCCCTCGAGTTGACTCGTCCAGGGGTCGCCGCCGGCGCCGAAGCCCCCCGCGTCGACTTGTCCGCGGGGGACATAGATCCGAGGGCGCCTGCACCTACTGGCACCGCACACTCTGCCCCGCCGCCCCTTCGGCTTCATGGCCGCCCTCGCTCTTCGGCTCTTGCTGGAGAATCCCGGGCCCCGGACCGCGAAGCGGCGGCCGGCTGCTGCCGCGGCCCCCCCACTGGCTC